AAAAAAGAGTCTGCCTCTCCAGACCATGGAAATAATTCACCCAGACATACTTCATTTTATTTCCCATACTCATTTCCTTTTGATTCTCGTATTTCAATATCTAGGGTATGACACCAATTCATGTGTCCCAGCTTTGCATTGTCATCATGAATGGAGAAAAATAACCCTTAAAATAAATTATACTGGTATCATCTTATAATCACTGCCACTGCTGCAGTCAGACCATTAAGAGAACTTCTGAAATTAGTGTTGAATGAAGTGTCGAGTGGTCTTAGTTTTAAAGGATTGATAGATGATGACAATACATTATCGCCAAATGATTTTGATATTGTTCTGTTGTTTCTTCTGGTGAGGAGTCTGATTCTTCGAAAAACTTAGATCACATCTCCGGAGATTACAGAAGATAGGGAGAAATTCAGTTGCCTGGCCACACACATTTAGTGCCATTTAAGCAACTTGGGTTTCCCAGGCACCTGCACAGAGACAGAGGTGACACAGGACACAAAGGAGACCTGCACCTTCCAGAGGTTGGAGCCCAGCTTAGGTCATAGCAAATATTTAGGCAACTAAATGCTGACTAAGTGATTGTATTTACACATTAATAGCACTTTACAACTTCCAGTAGTAGCAATTACCACGAAAAAAACCCAAAACAAAGCAAAATCCCACATATTTTCAGATCTCTCAAAATATTGTTTCATTTATAAATCAGGAAAGGTTTAGTTTACCCTCAAGTGGAGATCCCGGCATTTCTAGCACCTGCCTGGTGCTCCTGTGCTTATCGTTTCTGGTTATGGTGAGGTGTGTTGCTGCAATCATCCCTTTGAGACTTTTACACATCAGCTTCCAAACACACAAGTACTTGCTGTGTGAAATGATGAAGCAGAGAAACAGAGCACAAATAAAAAGTTCGCTGCTGAGTAAAATTAACTCAGGCTCATGCAATGACCTCACAAAAATGAGGCTTGCAAACAAAGCTATACCAATTCCTTCATCTTTTCTCCACGTTGGACAAAACTACGAATGACTGTTCAATCACCCAGGTCCTCATTTGTGTGATCTCAGGCTATCTGTGCCTGCAGAAGCAGATGATTAATGAGCTTGGTGACTACAAAGCTGGTAACAGTCCACACTTCAGTAGATTTTCTGATGTTGTATCTTCTGATTAAAAAATGCTTGTGACCTTTTCCTATTGTAAAGAAGAAATTCCTCATTTACAATAGCCCTAAGAATGTGCCAATATCCATGTCCCAGGTTTATCTCACGACATCCTGATTAAAGTGTAATCTTCCAAAATAGCTGCAAGCAAACATTTTGAAGGCTCTCACTAAGGAGTCAGCAGCATGAACTGGCACCTCCTGGCAGTTTTTTAGGCAGATGTAGTCACAACCATGAGATGATTATTCTACTTTGAATATATGCATTCAACACTCAGCACAGTAGCTGTTTTTTCTTCTGGGCAATACCTAATGCCGGATTTCCTCCACTTGCAATCAGAACAGAGGGAGGACAGGCAGCACCGCCTCTCAATTGCCTGTCTTCTCTCTAGGGTAATAATCTTCTCTCAGCAGCCTAAGTGCTTTTTATTTGCATTGCTGAGGGCTAAGGTTTCGAGCCTGCTAATGCTGAGTGACAGAATTGGTTTTTAGTTTTTTCCTCTTAAGAAAAACATTCTAGGAAATCGTATAACCTCCTTTGATCCTCTTGAAAACTGGAATTTAAGGTTGCAAACCCACCAATTGAAAAGTCAGTCAAAGCCAACTGCTTACTGTTGAACAAGCACCCAGATTTGCCTTCTTGTGGTATGTGCTATGATTATCTCCTAAATTATATAAATTTAAAACTTTATTCTTCATCCAGGTCCATTCATCACTGAATGCATAATAAATAAAGATAGAAAAGGGCTGAAGTAAGGTTGCATGTGCAAAGCCACGAGTCCTACCTTTCGGATCTTGGTTATGCCAAGTACACAGCTTTCCCTTGCTCTGTTTTATAAACTGCATAGACTTCTTCAGCTCTGACCGGTTAGCGCAACCATCATTTGTTAGCACCAAAGCCATCAGAAGCTATTACCCTCTGATGTCTTTCCAACAGCACATGTGAAATATACTTCTCCATTCATTTCTCACTTTGAAATCTTCATCCACTCTCAGAGAGATTCCCACCCGGCTAGGAATAAACAGGCATGAAGGATGAGCTCCTGCATTGTGTCCTGGCCTCTCTAGGTGATTGAATTAAAAGAAATCAAAACAGAACAGAAGAGAACACAACAAGCAATAGAGAAGACATCAGCAACTCATCATCCATGGATCTGGCCTGTTTTATGAGTGAAGATGGGATAAGCACAAACAGGCTGCAGCAAATCCATCTGTGGTGTATTGTTTCAGGATGTTAAAATAACCACACTTTCATCTAATCAGTGTCTTAGAAATATTTTTTCAAACTGACTTTTTTTTCCTCTTTTTATTTAGAGTGAGGCAGAATATTGCATTTGGGGAAACAAATGATAATGTTTTTGGGCACATATCAATTAGATGGGAGGGAACCAAGTCAGTGCGTGCCAATTTTTAATGTTACATGAATGAGAGACCTCCTATCAGGCTCTTAGAAGGCAGGTGAATAGTTAACATCTTAAAGTCAAGTAGGGCTGCAACCTGCTCTTTTTCATGTAAACCCTGTTTTATGTACCAACCAGTTCATTAATGTCATCTTTTTTCTTGAAATTACATACATAGAAAGTGAATGGTACCTAAACTGTATGCTGCTAAAAATGGCAGTACAGCAGTACAGCATTACTGTCCTTTATCAGAAAAATGTCATATTCCCCTCCATACAATACTTCAAAGAATATCAAGCTTGTTTTACAGTGCAGGGATTGCAAGGCTTCTTTGCCCTCTTTTGTCCATTTTTTCCATGGGACAGAATGCTGTTCACATGAATCACAACCCCCCTTCACCTAGGTGCTGGAGATCAGCTGATTCAGGCAGGGATCCATTCCAGGTTTAACATTCGAGAGAAAGGGATCATACATAGGGAGTGAACCACTGAGCTGAGGCTGCTGAGGCTTTTGATGACAGGTGACGTATCTGTCTGACTGCAGGGTGATCACCCTTCTTCTGTGCCGCAGTCTTGTCAGCTGTAACTTGGGCATTCAGACACGTACAGCTTCATGCTCATACCTCTAAACAGAGCTTTACACACCTTCCATAAAGGGGCTTTGCAGGTCTCAGATGAAACAATAACAAATCCTTGCCTCAGTGAGAACTGGCAAATTAGAAGATCAAAACTGGAGTTAAAAACTACCTCCTCACATTCTGTATATTTAATGATGTCAGTTAAATTTTTTGCCTTCTAAACCCTTAGTGTGGATCTGAAGGAAAGCTGAACCTGAAAACCCCAACCATTTTTGGGGCTCTCCAGGATGGACAGACAGGTTTGCATCATTAAGCACACCGTCAATGCAGAACCAGTTTACAAGCCTGAAAAACAGTGCTGCTTCACTGCTGCTTTTTCCTGCCTATTCCAGAGCACGCTGTATGAGACAGGCTTCCTGGCTGAACAAGGGGAGCAGAAGAGCAAAGAACAGCCAACAGGCTTGTTACCAGTGGCAGAAAAAATCTGAGACCACAAGTATTCCTCAAAAACAAACAAAAACTGCAACAAATCATCCATAAAACGCAGTCAAAAAGGACTTCATTTAATTAGTGATATGTAAAGACTTTTGCATAGAAAAAGGTTAACAAGGTAATGCATAAAAGACCGAGTAGGTACAGTATTTTTAAAACAAATATTTTAAAGTACATTTTGCATAATGTTTAACATTCTCAATGCTTATTGCTTTCTCCACACAGCAGAGAAATCAAGTGCATAATAATACATGCTGTGCTTTATTTTTATTTTTATTTTTTTTTTACATAAAATCTCTAGTTCTTGACTGGATGTATTAAAATACTTATGTTATTTTAAGTCACTGTAATAAAAAATGAAAGCAAACCATTTTATGCAGCACTAGTTTTCTGGGTATTGACAAAATAATTTACTCACATCCCATTAATACATTCATTTTGGTTTGGAATCAAACCCACATTACAATGTTGGCATGTTAATAGCCAATTTATAAATTGTCCCTACCGTAACTTCATTCATACCCAGAGTGATCATTCTCCCAGAAGCTGATAGTGAAAAGCAGAAGGATCTTGCACGGAATCAGCTAGAAGTAAATGTCCAAATACAGCTAAATAAGTTAAGTTGAACTCTTACAACACTGAGTCTCTTGTATTGGCATGAATCAACTGTATCCAAGTGTGCACACTTTAAATAGGTGGTTACTTCTGGGTGCATGACAAATTCACTGTTTGTGCAGATAGAGCTAGCACCATGTTTAAGCCATAAAAATGGGTGCCTCAGGGCTCACAGGCAGCGCTGAAACGTTCATTAATCCCAGCACTGATAAGATAATTGCTTTTGCCAATGCTATGCTAGACATCACAATTTGGCAAGTCTGTACAAATAAAGTGAACTAAGGAAGTGACAACTAGGCCTGTCAAACTGAACATTCTTCCTGGGCAATCTTTTGGCTAAAAAACCCTCTCCCCTTCAAGAGCACGCTCTGCCCTGGAAAGATATCTGAGTTTTGAAGCTGAATGCAGAATTTTGTCTGTCCCCCATACCATTTCTATACCTGTGCAATGTTATTTGTTTTAGCAGAACATACACACACATATATATTTATTTATTATTTTTTCAATGTCAGGCACTTATGAAACTCAAACTCTTTTTCTAGCCTGAGTAGACCTGGTAGATGCAATCCCTCACTCTCTGCCAAACAAGGATGCATAGCTGGAGAATTATTAGTTCTAATGTCTATGTATTCCTAAGTATTTCGCATGAAACCTCTACGTGCTGATATGGTCACACCGTTATGAAAGCCGTTGCTGCTCCTTCAGGGTGCCTCCAGCAAGACAAACTGAGCAGAAGAAGGTGTCACCCCAAGGCCTCTCCGGCACCCCAGTGAGGAAGATAACTGTGCCATTCCTCGGTGGGCTTGCCGGCACCTCTCAAGCCCTTCGGGAGAAGGCGGCCACCCAGGCAGCCTGAGCGGGAAGGACACACCAAGTCCCGGAGGCCCGTGCGTGGGTGTGGGTGTGTGTGTGGGTTGAGCACATGTGCTTGTGCTGAGGGAGAGGAGGGAGCTGGACTGGGAGGAGAGAGGGCGGGGACTTAAAATGCTCCAACTTCAGTCCCCCAGGGTCGGTAGGGTTTAGTGCTGCCTCCGCTGCCGGCCTGCTGAGGGCTGGCAGTGGCTGACACGGCCAGTGGAGGGGTGATGGCTGTTGCCGCAGCCACGGCAGCGGCAGCCGCGCTGGGGGGAAGCATGGGAAAGGTGCCAGTGAAGGAGAGGGGGAAGCTCTGGGCAGCAGCTGTAGCTGCGGCTGCCGCCGCATGAACAGTAGCCGAGAGGGACAAGAGGGAGGTAGAGAGAGGAGGGACACAGGGAGCGATGCTGCCAGCGGAGGGAACTCTGAGGGCAGCATCGGTGTGGGCGAAGGTGGCCGTGAGCAGGGCGGAGCCGTGGGGGGGCACATCCGAGGAGAGTCTGCATGGGGTGGCATCGGAGGCGTGGAGTCCATTTGGCTGAAGCAAGGCGGCTGGGAGGTGGTGAAAGGCAGCTGCCCAGTGGTGAGGATGCAAGGGGTGGTGGTGGTGGGCCATGGAGGAGGTCATGGCAGCAGCTTCCCTCTGAGATGCACAGGTGCTCAGGTGAGACACGAGTCTAACACGCAGGGGGTCAGATGTGTCGAGACCTTCCACCGAAGTCAAGTACCTTGCGACTTCTGTCAAGCACTCTCGGAAGCCGATGCTCATGAAATCCATGGCCAGGGAATGAGCATCAAAATAACCTGCAAGGGGAGGGCAAAAGACATGTTGAGTGTGGAGCTGGCTTCCCAGCCGACATTAGGTGAAATAGTCCAACCGGTCCTGGCTCAGCTGCCCCATTTCCCTATCTTATGGGTTAAGATATGGAATACGAGAAGTTTGTTCTCTGGTCTGTAAATGATCTCTGTGACCATCCCTGTAATGCAATAGGCTGCAGTTGTTTATGCAGACAATATACACATGAAAAGAACTAAGTCCATAAGATACTTAAAAAGATACATGATGCCTCTTCTGAAATTCCTCGGCAAGCTGCTGCAATGCAGTGTTGATCCTGTATGTGTGAATGAGATGCTTATCCACACAAAGAAACAGGCTGGAGATCAGAGAGCTTGCATGTACTACCCTGCCTTTTCTTCCCTACACTGGCATTCATCCTAATGCTTCAAACTATTTCTTGACATTGTGAGATAGTTGTAACTGCTGCTGGGGTCCCATCTACTTCAGAGAGTCATTAAGACAACACGACATACGGTGTTACTTAACTACAAACTAAAAACATCTTGTGATGACTCTGCACACACACAATAAAAAGCTTTACTGAGAAAACGTTTTATGTAATGCCACTGCTAATTTGGAGATGGAAGACTGACAGTCATATGGCCCATGAGGTATTTCTACAAACAGCAACTGGAGCCTCACAGGCCCAGGACAAAAAAGCATTTGAAAAAAACAAAAGTCTTATTAAATGCACGTGAAAAGATACTCTCTTTCTAAAAGGGTATAGCATAAAATCTTGTGTTTACGTTGCAGCTCTTCAACCAAAAAAACCTATTCTGGTTTTTGCAATTTTCCTGTTTTTGTTTTAAAATTTTTGTACACTCATTGGGGAAATAATATCCTATTCACTCCCAAGTTGGCGTGGTGTTTTTCCACTTGCATTCAATGAAAATTTTTAGGTATGCATGACAGTGATGTGTATCCATATATAAAGATCAAGTGCCCTTATTATGGAGGAACGTGGCAGCAATACCTTGTCCTCTGTCATGAAATAATCTCTGCCTTTCTGAAAAGTGCTAGCTCCTTAGATGGCTTTTTTCACTTGTATAAATTTTCAAGCTAGAAGGGAGTGTTTCCATTGCCGCGTGCCCACACTGTAGAATTAACCTGGGCACATTTGTAGATGTTGCCCCAAATCCCCTGCCCACTATACACCCCTTCTTGCCAAATCACAATGGCGCTTTTGCTGCAGGCCATCTTATTCATCTCAACCCAAAAGAAACTCTGGCTAGACCAGCAAATCAGCGAGCATAAGGGGCCAACGACTTCTGTCAGCAAGCACTAATTTTTCAAAGCTTTTCTCCTGCTAGGTCCACTGCGACCAAATGATCTGTGGAAATGCCTTAGTTTGAGTGAAATCCTGAGAAACAAAGACCAGGCATGCCAGCAGTGGTGAGATAGGAGGGTACCTTCTCGGGTGTGCCAGTCAGCCAGGCTGGAGGCTCCAGGACCTCCAGTGGCTTCAGAGGGGCTGATGCAGAGCCAAAACCACTTCCCAGCTCTGGCCACAAGTCAGCCAGCCTGGGAGTCCTGGGAGCACTCAGCTCAAGCCAGGGCTTCCCAGCCTCCCTCTGTCCTTCCTTCTGGAGATGTGGGGGATGTGGTTATCACCAGCTCCCTCTGACTCTGAGCTGCTGGCTCTGTGACGAGCCATCCCAAAGCCCTGGTGACCCTGGCTTCCTTTCAGTCTCCTATGGTGGCCGAGACACAAAAACAGAGGGTAGATGAGAGCTAGGACTCCCAGGCTCCACTATGTTTTGATGGTTATCTTTTCCAGGTTGCCCCTTCTCCGGCTTCCCCCCTCTGGCAGGGACTTAAAAATGTTGTTCCTCATTTCCTTCCAAAACCCAAGAACATCCTCCACCACCACCTACACGCATACATGCCACTGTTTTGTAGCAAATGGGAAGTCTTGGTTTTACTTCAGCTGTCCTGGTAACCCATCCGCGCTGCACACAGGGCACGGGTCATTTGAGCTACACAAACCCATGCTGCTGATCCAGGTGTCAGCCACTCAAGCTAAATTTGCAGTGAATCTGCAATAAAACCACACTGAGGTCTCAGCAAGCAACTCACTGTTGACAAATCACTCCTCCCCGTGCGTGCTTGCACTGTCAGCAAAAAGCCCTGGCCCTAGGCCAAAGTAATAACTCAACATGAACAAGAGACCACTGCCCGCACCTGCGTCAGGGCGGTGGAAACGTGGAGTCTGTACAGGTCCTCGGAGGCATCTGCCTGCCCACCCAGGCAGCTCAGAAAAGCAGAGAAGGGTCAGAAGCCACGTCAGGTTCTCTTCCACTATGCCCACCTAAGGTTCAGTGAGCTGAGAGTGGCAGACACCGTCCTGACTTGTCAAGCCCAATGCATTCCACATCCTGGGTGTCCTCCCTTCTGCATGAGGAGGAGGAGGAGAAATTGTCCCCAGCCCTCAATGCATGGGAGAATAAGGGTATCAGGACCCATTTCTCATTCTTACAATAACTGATTTTGTCCATGGGAAAAATGATGAAATTGACTTTTTTGCTGTTACAAAAAACTTCTGCTCACAAGATGAATTATGAAGTGGGAATAACTACACTTGTGAATAAAACAAACATCTACTTTAAAAACATCCAAAGAAGTTATATTTAAAACTGTTACTTAAGCTGCAAAGTAAAATATTAAGTAAGTAGGAAAGCAGACTTAAACTTTGCCCAGTACGAATTCTCAAATCTCTTTTTCCTACAGTTTCTTAATTCATGCAGTGAGATTACCCTTATCTCTGGGATAGAAGGAGATGATAAAGTTGTAGTATTTGTGGACCACAGTGTGAGAGGCAGCTGCAAAAATCAGCCTGCATCACTTCTCCCCACACCGCAATGCTTCATCCTTCCCTGCACTGCCTCAGGTGTGCCAGAGTTAGCCTGGGCAGAGGAGGCATAGCATTAGTGGCTGACCAAGGAAGAGACCAGATCGCAGAACCTGGGACTGCTAACAACATCCAGCTTGTCTAGCAGCAGACGGAGGCTGGGCCTCTGCCAACACCTCTCTCTGTCCCACGGCTCCCACCCTCACTAGCTGGGCCAATTGACCCAGTTATAAAAAAATCCCCCACATACTTTTTTTTTTGGGCGGGGAAGCAGGGGAAGGAAGCTTCCTATTAAATTAGGCCTCTGACTGGGTTCACCTCCTGGCCCTCCTGCTGTTGTTGCAGACATTGGAGGGGTGGGAGCTGCTGCGGCTCCTCAGAGGAACAATGTGCCATGTGAAGCGGGGGTCAGGCTGGGATAACTGAGCCACACGTCGCATGGGGAGGATGAAGTGAAGCAGCCACCACTTCCCTGAGCAGACGAGCGCTGTTTGCTCTGTGCACTGAGTGAGACAGAGCTTGTGGAGCGCTACCACGCAATTAGAGACGGCACCTTTACGCACATACACACAGGATCCAAGTCCAGATTGCACAAGCGTGATCAATTCTGGTGTTTCGTAACTTTCAAATGTGTAGATTTACCAACTTAATAGTGTTTTCCTCAAGGATTTCTAGATATATACGTTAATTTCTTTTTTTCTAATTTTGCGCATTTTCTGAGGAATCAAGAGGCATGTCTGTTACCTGATGGGCAATAATATTCCTTTTATCTCTTACTGAACGAGTCACCCATAAAGTTTAAGCTTAAACAGACTCCTAGAAGAAACTCCTTAACATGTAAAAAAAAGTATATCAGCTTGGTGTTAATTTTCACAACTAATAGACCACCAGCCTTCAACATGCTTTCCTATAGCCATCTGTTGTTAGGCATGCACTGGTTCTAAGCTAAGTTTTATAATTGCTGCAAGGTACCGAGAGAAGTAGTAATTCAATCATGCACTAAAAACTTTAATAAAAAAATAAAAAAAAAAAATAAAAAAAAAATAAAAAAAAAAGAAAGAGAGAGCAGCAGCTTCTTTTCTAGCTTTTACCTATATGGCATAGAGGGTGAATGAAGAATCAGCTGGTTTCCATTACCACAATTTGAACAATGATCACAGTTGATGGCATGGGACGTGGGGCCGTGCTTACAGGATGCCAGCAAGTTTTTCGCTCCAAATAAGTTCCAAAATCATGACTGCACAGAACACCTCGTGGGTGGCTGAAATCATCTGGCCTCCAGCCTCGGGACTGTCAGCTTGCACAAGCAAGGTACGCTCGACTCTCAGCAGCCGGCTGATCTAGCGGGTCAGCCAGTGCAGCCACTGTGTCACACCAGCGCCCATTAACAGGGAGCTGCCCAGGCCTCTGACACACAAATGTAGCATAGAAATATGAGCGCAGAGAGCATGGCTAGCCTCCTGTCTGTCTGCTTCATCAGACACCTTTAGCTATATAGAGCAAGACTGGGTTTTGTTCTGGTGAATGAGTTGGTCTAACCCGGCACTGAAAAGTCTGTCCTGAACAAAGAAAATATTTTAAAAATAAAGTTCCTCTCCATCCACTTCCTTCGGTATAGCTGCTGGATAATGAGGTTTAGCATCGGTTTTGTGCTATACAATTGTTGCCACAAACCTTCTGTTTATGTTTGGTGTTTGTGTATTTGTTTTGTCTCCCTGTGCAGATTTCAGTGCTCTTTGGAAACCCCAAACAAATCTCTGACTGGGCTGCCTGTGAATGAAGCCTTTACTCCCACAGTGTTATGAAAGCAAACACAAGCCCAGGGTCAAGTGCTTCTTTTGTCCCAGTAGTTCTTTCCCACGAGTTCAATCCTGCCATTAGCATTGATTTCCACTCCTTTAATCTGGAAACGCCTATCACAGCTCCTCAAAGCACTTTTTTTGTTGTTTTTACTGAGATTTCCCCAAATATTAGAAAAGAAATCATTGGCTCCTTACCTTTACCTCCTGTCGCCTGCAGCATCTTCAGATGATCCACTGTCATTTGCAGTATTTCCGCTTTTTCTAATTTGGCAGATCCCTTTGAGATAAGAGAAACGTATAAATAAAGGCTTACGGGTACTAGAAACTTTAATTTGATATACTTTCCACTGAGCTCAGCCTTATGGTTTCAATTTCCCCTATCATTAGGACATTTTCAGCTTAATTCTTTTGTGAGCATCTGCTTCCCAGACTTTGTCTAAGGACTAATGCCATCTCCTATCCAGTGACATAAGTAGCAGCAGAATTTTGCTTTATTAGGGCTATAGCTCAGTGTAGCTCTGGCCTTAAAGGTAGTGTAGGATGACATCTTTATGAAATGAGACAAATATGTAACTTCCTGGACTTCTTTTTAATGACAAACACAAATGGAGAGCTGACAAGACGGGTCTGTATGATCATCGATGAAGATCCTGCTGCAACATTACTTTCTGTGCTATTACCGGTAGATGTCCCTGCGGACACACACCCAGTACTATCCCTCTCTTAATCTCCTGTTCTTTTTCAGCACGTTATTTGGTTGCTGAAAATTTAATTCTCATTCTCAACTGAAAAAACAGCTGCACAGTCCACAGTATTTTAAGTTACTGAGAGGCCTAGTTGTAAGGACTAAGTACCATGAAAAAGCATGGGCGTAGCTGCTCTGTCAATAAAAATCTTTTCTGACACTGGAGGTGGTTCACAGAGCTACAACAGTTACTAAAAAAGTACAAAATACAATTCAAAAGGTAGTATTAATATATAAATAAAACTATTTTGCCTGGTAGTATTCCCTTCAATATATGGAGCGTTCCCAGACAACACAAATGTTATTTCCGGGGAAGAGATCATCCCTTGGCATCAGCTAAAACAAGCTGCAGATATCGGTGCATCCCATCCTGCAAGTAAATTTCTTTCTCTTAGTTATCATCTGGGCCACCTCACAGTCTCAGCTGGCTTCACCCAGCTGGCACGTGTGCGAGTTAGGCAAGGCTTACACCCTCGTCCACAGCGCCCATCTCTGCTATGGTCTCGAGAGCGGTGCTGTGATTTGGGAAGGGAAGGGAGCGGAAGCGAAACTAAACCTCCAACTTGGAAACTCCAGTGAGCTGAATGTCAAGGAGCTGGAAAAGGACTGATGACTTTGTCCTTGGCATATTGCAGAAAAATGGTGGGACTTTCTGATCCAAACACAGCGCGTGCTCATTTTTACGCCAGTACATTTTTTTCAATCCGCTTATTGCTTTCAACGCTTTGCTCGTACAAAGGTTGGTGTGCGTGTGAATTTTTGGTCAGAATTCCCCATTTTACATGTAACTACATCCTGTAGTTTTCTCAGACTTCATCTTTTCCATAGACACAGTACAAGCTGTCTCAGCGAGAGTGACTAATAGCTAAAAACTGCATGGTGCTGGGTAATTTCCAGAGCCTCTTGTAGGACTTGTTTTATAATGTTTGTGGTTTTCAAGAAATAAACAATAAAATGGGACAAGCAACTGTTGTCTCTTGCCCCTGTTTATCTAGCTGAAAATATCTCTGTCGCCGTTTTGCCAGTACCAATGCAAGGGTACAGTGACAACTACCAGTTACTAAAATCATATTGCAGGTGATACAAGTGATGCTCTCACCAATACTTAAATTCAGTGTTAGCCAGCTTTTGTTCAGGCCAGGGATGGAACAGCCTTAATACGGTGCAGTGTTTGCCACGTAGTTACCACTGGCGTTCAGCACTTCCCAATCTATCTCTCAGATTTCATTTTCTGGGTTTTTTTTATAATTTTACTATTACAAGGAAGTCAGGTTATTTATTTTCAGATGTTTCCTTTTTTATTAAAATACAGTGTCAATTGCACACATCCATAGATCTTCAGACACATCCAGAAAAACAGGAACAAGGCTAAATATTGAATCAAAGCCCAAAAAATAAAAATCAAGATATTGAAAAAAAATTAATTTGATTGGCAAAAACAAAAAACCTTTTTTTAGAAGAACAGATTGTATTCTAAGTTTTTTGTCTGAAATTTCATGACCAAGGAACTGAGCCAAAGTTAGCTGGATCCTTCCAGTTTTCCTGCTCAATACTTTCTCACTGAAAGTCCGAATATCACTGACTTCACTAGCCCACAAAACATGGGCCTATTCCACCTCCTCATGCACCGGTTCTAAAGAGTTATTTTAAAATGTGAATAATCCAGACTGTCTGTTCCCTTCTAAGGAAACTGGACTGATTAGTTTGCAATGACAAGATTTAAAAATAAAGGTTTCTTAAAGTAGGGGCAAAGGAGATTATATTTAAAGATTTAGACAGAAGGATAATTTACATACAGGTTTGGGAGAGTTGTGCTGTGTTTGTGTAGTTTTTTAAAAAATATGGAGTAATGCACATTTTCAACAAAGCCACTACTGGAATTCATTGCAAGAACAGAGGCAACATGAACACAGTTACCCTTAAGGGAAAAACAAGCCAAAGAATGGAAATGTTTTTCAGCCTTATAATGAATTATGTTTCTAATACTTTTGCCACAACAAAGCATTTTATTGAAATGCCTGCTTTGTGCCAGATCAGGACACATACAGTATTATTTTAATGAGATTTACAAGAGAACTAACATTGCCAGATGAGATACAGAATTTAAAAAAAAAAAAAAAAAAAAGGGCTTACTTGTTTTTCAAAAGCAGTTGGCACAAGCCGCCTCAGCTCTGATAAACTGTTATTTATACGATCACGGCGCCTTTTCTCTATAATCTATTCCCAAAAAAAACAAAACACATTAAGTTTATAAAAATCGTTGGAGGAAAAAAGCACAGCACACATGCAAATTGTCAGACATGAAAATAATTAAATGCAACATACCCCTCTTCTTTTCTTTCTGGCCATGATCTGAGATGTCGTTGTTGGAGAATTTGATCGAATGACAGAACTATTACTTTGCCTGTGGAACAATAAAAGTATGTCAGGTGTTGCAAAACTTGTCGACACTCTTTGAAGACACCTTAGGTCACCATATTACGTGTGCAGTCCCTCTCATGCCATTTTCAGTGCCTAGAAAACACGCCTTCCATTGCACAGTATTTTTAAAGAGAGAGGTATTTCAGTTTTGACAGCCCCAGCATATATTTTGAATTGCAGAACATTCTGTTGGAAATAAAGTCCGTTCCTGGAGACAATTTCTGGAGACAAGCCCTTTGCATATACAGCCTGTACAGGCTGAAGAACCGAGCCCAAACCCACGTGAACCATCTCTATATGCCAACAGAAGTGGTAAGTGCATGTACACTATGAGACAACCTCTGCCAGGCCTGCTGGGCTTTGACGTTCCTGCCCATTGCTATGTGAGTCAACAGATGCTCAAGTACGATGCCAGTTGCCCAACCCGGGTCTTTTGCATCTTTCGGCATCAGGAGCAGAATTTAAAATCCACTTTCAAGCCTATATTACCCACGAGTACGAAAAGGCTTTAACTTTATCATAAGCGAGTGAAAAAAATCCACTAGCCTTTAGTACTCATTTGGCCACTGATGCGGATGAGACAGAGGTCCGGTACATGAGCCTCTAAACTGGCAGGACCAGCCCCAAAGCCCCTCACCGTGCCCGCATCTAGCACAGCCCGGCCCTGCCTGGGCAAACACCACTGCTCGCCCTCGGCTCGCACGGCGGGTTTGCTGAAGTTCAGCTGCTGGGGATCCCTGCTTACTTACTTTCTCACTGGCGCCGATCCCCTTAGGTTGTTCGGCCTGCTCAGGACCGATTTCGGGAAAGATCTGACTGAAAATGGCAAAGTAAGCGGAGCTAATGAACGGCAGCCCAGTGGCTCACAAGCTACTTGAGTGCTCCACGTAATTTCGAGGCTCGGGCAGTCGGACCGCGAGGCTAATTTTAGGTGGGCTAAGAACGAGGTGCCAGCTGACCGGGAGGGACACAACAGCACCCCGCTCTGCCCTCAGGGGGCCACCCCCTCCCCACGACGGGGCGGTCTGGAGTCCCGCCTGCCCTGCCCCATCCCGGGGCGCACCCCGGCCCCTGCTACCGGCAGAGACGGCGGCCCCGGGGATGCCCCACTTACCCCGAGTAGTTGTTCTCACTCCCCACGTCTATAGTCTCGTCCATATCGCTGTCTGAGGTAGTTTCCTCGCAAGGTCGCTTCATCGTGAGCACAGGGCGCGGCGCAGCTTCTAGCCGGGGCGGGAGCAGAGATAAATAAATCCTGGGGCGGGGGGGAGGCTCAAGCACAGGACCGCACCGCCAGCACACCAAACCCTCTCTGAGGAGCTTTCCCACGCCGCGGCACAGCCTGAAGCCCGACAGCCCGCCCCCGGCAAGGCCCGCCCTGCCGAGGGTGACGGGAGGGGGCCGCCCACCGCCGGGGCGCGGAGCCGTGCGGGGGAGCGAGCGGTCGCCCAGCGGGGGCCTGGCCGCCCTCGGATCGCGGCAGGCGGGGAGCGGAGCCGCGGAGATGCCACCGGCACAGGGCCGGGAAGGGGCGGCGCGGGGCCCCGGGCATCCTCAGAGCTCTCCCTCCAAGGGAAAGAAGCGCCATCAGGCTCCCAGCCCTCCCATATCGCCGGTGGAGGGAGGGGGAGGCAGGAGGCGGTCCCGCTGTCCGTGTCTCACCAGGCATTTGGGAAGACCTTGCTCCCCCTGACCCCTAAGATAGGAGCCGGATCAGCCCCCCCCATCCCGTACTCCAGAGCCGCAGACGGTGGCGAGCAGCTCTCACCGCCTCTCTTGGGGTGCTGTGGGTTGTCTTAGCGGGCACACGAGCTCGGGTTGGAGAGTTTTCAATCCCGGCAAAGGTATAAATCTCGCCCGTCCGGGCGAGCGGCCCTGGGCGCCCCGTCCCGCTGGGCTCCACGGGTGCGCCGAGGGGGTAGCGGGCGCTTGCAGGGCCGGGAGCCAAGCGCGGCGATAATCCCTTCTGGGAACGACTTGGAGGAAGTTTAGCGCCTCGCTTACCCGAGGATCTGTAGCAAGCGGGTTTTATTTTGCTTTTGTTTGGGATTTCCCCACCCCGTTTGTTTGTGTTTTCAAATTCCGGGCTCCTGACAATACACATTCGGAGTGGTATGTTCTCCGCAGAAATTTAATCTTTCGACTTTCGTGCCCATCCCTCTGCCCGTTCCCCCCTCCGTCCCCTTTGCCACCTTCCTGGGAACATTTTTCTCCCACCCCTGCTGCCAGGACGCTGGCCGAGAGGGACCGGGGCGGGGAAGATACGGCACCACCTCGGACACCGACGCGTTATCCCGGCTTTTGGGGCACACGGAGCCGCAGTCGTCCAGTAGCCCTGAGAACTCGCGGACTCTCGGCCAGACGAGGCGGCGAGGGGGCTGCCCCTGGCCCTGGCCCTGGCCCTACCCCTACCCGGCAGCGAGTCGGGGCAGGGGGCAGCCCTCTCGCCGCCCCGCCTGGCCGCCCAAGGCTGCGGCTGCCCGTCCCGGGCTCCGGGGAGCGCTGCGGCAGCACCTGCCGGAGAGAGACGCGGGAAGCAATTAGCGGCATCGCCGCAAAATGATAAAAGTGGCGAGGGGTCGTCTCCCCTTCGGGCCGCCGTGGAGCCGCGACCCTCACCGTGGCGCCGGGTTTCCAGGCGGCGACAGCACGATGTTGCTATGTCCCGAGGGAGAGAGGATCGGCGGGTCGGGGAGGGAGGAAAGAAGGGTTTGAGGGCGCCAATGGCTTCGGCTCTCCTTTCGGGACAAGCTGCAATCTCGGCAGGCCTGAAAGAGCGCGGAGTCGAAACCGCTTCTACTCGCGGGTTGAGTTTGCCCCAGCTGCCTTATATTTAGCAGTCAACAGTGCCAATCACTCAGTTTTCCACTCAATTAAATCCCACGGAAGGTGCAGGTGGTTTGGTTCGTTCGCGGGTGTGCGTGCGGGAAAGGGCCGTGACAAAAGAGAAACCGGCGCCAGCTCTTTTTTACGCCAACATCCGCCATCTCTGCAATTATATTTGGTGGCACGTCGGGTGTTTGCCCTTTCATGTGGATGTTGCTACTATGTAAAGGAACAGCGGGATTTCATGCCTCATTGCCCTACCGGGACATCCTTTTCATGCCCGCGTTTGCAGAGTTACTAAAAGCTCCGCGGCTGCTCAGACACAACAGAACCGAGCGCCCGCGGGAATGGTGAAGACAGCTCCCGGGAACTTGGGACGCACTCCCCACAATGGCCCCTTTGATGGGGTCTCAACAAAAAAAAAAAAAAAACAACAACAACACCAACAACAAAAAAACCCACCCCAACAAAAACCAAACAAGCAAAACCAAAGAAGCAAACAAAAACCCCCCAAACAAACAAACAAAAAACCCCACGAACAAACAACCCCCAAAAGTCCCGGGACCTTTCGGGAAAGTGGACTAGCAGGAGCAGCCTGAAGCGCCAGGCTGCAATTTGAAGCACAAACGCTTTAGAAATCTGGGATTAGGCTCAGCAGTTTTACTGTTCGATAGGGGATTTTCTATAATATTTGTTAAAATATCCAAATAAACAAAAAACCATACTAAAGTTCCCTTCGCTGTTTGTGCTGTGACGACACGGGAGACCTGCCAGAGCCGGGCCCGCTCCTGCCGCCGGCCGGGCCCCTTATGCTCGGGGCCCCGGGAGAGGCCGTGAGACGCTGCCCGGCTGCAGACATCGCCTTTCAGAGTGGGGCGAGGATTGCTAGGTCTGAGTTACAATCCTTGTTACCCCGCCTGGGCTGCAGCTGCTCGAGAGGCGCCTATAAACACGGGGCCACAGGCTCGAGGGTGGGTGTCTGAATCCCCGCTAAAGCACGCGAATCACCCGAGGAAGTTGGTGCGTCTCTGAGCTGTCTCGGGGTTTTGCACAGAAGTCTTTAATGTCACGCGTCGGTGCCGCTGGATTTTTCTGCTGAATTTCTGCTCACTCTGGAAATAGCTCCCGCTGCTTAATGGTATAATTTTTTTCCCCTGGGGCACGAGTCCCGCGTGCTGTTCTACAGAAACCTGAGCTATCTTACGGTTACCTCCCCGAGTACAGTTTATGTCAGCGTTGTTTGTCGCGGATCCGGCTACTAAATCCTCCTGGCAGCCTCGCTGAAGTCCCTCCTCCGGCAAGCTCCTGTTTTCATTTTCCCCAGATTTTTTTTTTTTTTAAGAGGTTTACCTGCTCCCTGGGACTTTCCCAGGACGCAGCGAGGAGGGCAGACCCCCTCCAGGTCGCGGGCTTACCCCTCGCGGCAGGTGCTCTGCAGCAGACAAGGGCTCCGTGGGGACCCCACGGCCCCCCGGGACAGCACCAGCACCCACGGGTGGGGCAGGGGCTGCTGCGGGCTCTCCGCGCTTGGGGAGCTGCTGTCGTGGGACGAAGCCTCTTGTTTTGCTTTGGCCCCGGGTGTGTGGCTCGCGTGTCCCTGCATAGCACTTGCTGCGGCGGGACTGCCCGCTCTGCTAGCAGCATTCATCGGTGACAGCCACGCATTTGAAGCTCAGAAAAATGCATTTTTCCCTATTCCCCGGTGCTTTTTCCTCCAAAGGGAAAAACCGGGCAGACTTGCCGCCTTCCTCCCGCGTGGAGGCCTCGGGACAGCCCCCTCCTTCACCCACCGCAGGCAGGGAGAGCCGGGTGGCGACCCTCGCATCGCGAGCAACTTTTCCCCGGGAGAGGCAGCCCCAGCCGGCGGGTGGGCAGCGGCTCCGAGGAGGCTCCTCGGCCCGCAGGGCTCTTGTTCCGGCCGGGGGACGGCGGGAGGAGGTCAGGCAGCTCCCTCTCCCTCCCTCGGGTTTGGTTTCTTGTGGTTGGTTTGGCTTTTTGGGGTTTGGGTTTTGTGCCCCCCCCCCCCCTTTTTTTTTTTGTTTTGTTTTGGTTTGTTTGTTTGTTTTTCCTCTTGGAAAACTTGGTGCTCGGTGTGGCTGCGGGGCCTGGAGGCGGCGGTGAGACGCGCCCCCGTGGGCCCTCCGAGGCGCGGTGGGACCGATGCCCTCGCCAGGGGCTGAGCTTTGGGGGCGCTTCCAGAACTGGCTAGCAAAATAAGCAAAGCAGGATATTCGCGATACATGTATAGAGCCGGCTCCCGCAGAGAAGCGATTCTCGCCTGCTCCGTCCCCGAAAATGAAACTTCCTTTTCCCCGAGGTTTCAGGATTACCCCTTTTACACGTTGCTGTGAGCCATTTAAGATTAAATAGTTGGGACTGTTTTAAAAATGTGTGCGGCCTCCTGAAGGAGCTGAAGTTTTGCTGAGCAGCTCTCTTCAAAGGGGCTCAAGATTGTCCCGAGCTTCTTTACTGGACACGGAAGACACTCAGACTTTAGGTCTTAGAGCGGTTTTGTTTTGTTTTGTTTTTATGCTTTACCCTCTCTCGCTCTAAACAAACGTTTCTATCCCATTTCCTTCACTCAGTAAACAGCCTCTTAGGGATAACTTCTATTACTTTTAAGTTACCTTCTCATATTTGGAAGCTCTTAAGAACAGTCGAGATAGACAATTCGAGTTCATAGACTAAAAACGGCGACACTGTATTTTTGTTTGTTTGTTGGACTCATCATTAACTGCCAGGAAAACAAGAGAAAAATCCTCTTGATTTTTTCTTTTCTCTGGTGTGATTGTAAATAGAAGGTTAACATGATTTCTGGCCACATTCATACCGAGATGGGATGGACAGACTGAAGTGAGACCAGACAACTGAGGAAACCATGTGTTATGAAGCTGAAGGAAATAATGCTCAGAAAAGGTGAAGACACTTTAAAATGTGTGGCTTTGCTTAGACAGTGGCTGCACACGGGTGGAAGTGGATGCATAGCATTCCTCGCATGTTTGCCTCGTGGAAGAGTAATTGACTATTAGCTGGGTTGTCGGATTCTTGCCAGTGGGTTACACAGGGGCTGATCCACAGGTGATTAGTGCAGTAGTACAATAACCTCATAGATACTGATAAAACTCCAATGCCCTCAGATGGATGCAATTGCTCCAGTAGATCACTTCAGCTTACTTCAGTTTTGGGAAGGGTAAAAAATGCACAAAGACATGATATAATAAACTAACATTTCAAGCTGGAGATGATTTTAAAAAAGTAGGAAGGAAGACGCGATGGGTGTTTATAGACTTTTCTCAGTAACAACTTTTAATGTTTATCGTTGAGCTACACCTCCACAAATCTGATCTTGGTCAAGTAGTGAAGTCATCTATCTGGTTTTTAGACTGAGCACTGAAAACATAACTCTGCATCCCGTGTAATGTGTCACACTACTTCTCTGCTTTCGGTGCTTACAGAGGTCAATGGATGCACCCTCCTGGGTCGAGTGCTTCCTCCTGGCCCCTAGTCAATAGGTGT